GTTAAATTTCTTTCAAGTTCAGCTATCTTAAACGCCACAAAAAGCGGCTGACATACGAGGCCAACGAGAAGATCCGAGGTTGCCAAGGAGCCTAAAAGGACGAAAGATGGCGTGTGAAGATCGTGGGTTTTTTTAATCGCCAGAAGAATTGTAGAGTTGGCCACAAATGTTACGAAACCGAACAATAAGTTAAGGATACAAGTTAGAATGTTTGTTACGAAAAGTTCTTCCGCCTTGTCGAAGCTAATGCCACTAAATAATAAACAGGCTTTTCCAGTTTTGTTCATGAGTGAGGGAAGTTATGTCTCTGTGTTGACTTGAAGTAGCTATCACTGGCAATGCACCATGGCAATGCGATCGTCGCTTTAATAATTCTGAGTTAAGATCGTCGTTTTAATAATACCGATCGTTGCGACTTCGATTTCGTCAGAAATACCCATGCAAGAGTCTCCAATGTCTGTTTTTGTGTTACTTTTCCGACTCCCAACCACTTTTAAACCGGCAAAAAACAAATGAAAAATTTTTATTTGGGAACTTTAAGGAAGACAATCAAAGCGTCGGGTGACTAAAATTACATCAGAGAAAAGAAAAACGAGAACAATGTAGTTGCTACGCAGTTATTTTTAAGGTCACCCACTGTCTTTGCAAATAGTCTCCTCCCCCCCAAAAGAAACTGAAAAAGGTTTTCTGAGTCTGCGAAACTGTCACCGATCTCTCTTAACTTCTTGGTACAATATATTCAGAACACCAGCTGCTGAGCTTGGAACTTCCTGTTTATAATTTTCTACCTTGCTAGAGATAAAGATAACATTCCGAATGTCAACGTTCAGATGGATATTTTCCACGCAACATTGTGTCTTTAAAACCTGAAATAATATACTGTCCATGTTACTGCAATACTTATCATTGGAAAACTTTATTGTTCGTTGAACACTCATGTATTATACATTGAAACATTTCTTATGGTAAACGTATGCGTATCTTTAATTAGTCTCATCTTCTGAATGAAAAAAAAAGAAACGCTCTTTTCTCAGGCATAAATTAAAATGATCGCTGGAAAGATTTCGACGCTACACTAAGTACTCGCCTAGCATTTATATACTTTTAGTGTAGTGCCAAATATTTACATCGTTGTAGCAATTATTGTTCCTAGAAGCATTCATCATTTTTAAGTATGTTAACGGGTGACCAACATTTTTGCGATTCAAAACAACCAATTGTTCAATTCGTCAAATGTTGGCATATTTTTCTTGATCTGGGTTCTTTAAGATCGTATCGAAGTCTAGGAAAGGAAAAAGAAATTTGCCGTTTTGTGTTCACGTCCCCCACAAAACTTGAAATTAGGCATTTTCACGACGCAGTCGTGCTGTAACGACAAAGAAATTGTACAAAAAGGGTGATGCACGTGCGAAGTGTCGCCGTTGTCGTTGCCTAAGGTTCCTACTCTCGTTTTAGGATATTCTTCACAGCTCGTCGCAC